ATGCTGCAAAGATAGAATTACTAGAATTAAATATTCTCTGGTTTCTCTGAATACTGTAGAATAATGATCGCTTTGAATCAGTAGCTGATAATTTGATTTAAAAGTTACTGTATTATTGGAAGCCAGATCTGAAAGTGGTAGCTTTTCCAGCATGTTTAGGAGTTCTGTTGCGAGAAGTATGTTCTTATTTATTTATAATGTAACTAATCCTGAATTTCTTATAACCACTAAGTGTTATCAGAGAGATAATAGGGATAACAAAGGAAAGCATCTTGGTTTCTTTTAAATTTTATTTTAATTGCTTATGTAACATTTCAAAATCTAGCATTTTAAGAATAAATTTTAATTCAGGATCTTCAAAGAGTAGATGTGCATATAATACCATAACAATGTATATATGTGCATATAATACCATAACAATGTATATATGGTAAAATACATTTATATTATTGGTGTAATGAAGTTTTAGTCCTCCTAATGTCCTCAGGTTACTACTGCCTAACTGCACAATAGTTTTAAACTACTGAATTAAACTATATTTAGGGAAACCTTGCTGTTTTCATTTTTCTTGCATACTAGAAGCAAGGACACAAGTTATGACATCTGTAAGTTCATACAAAATTTTTTTCAAAACTGGGAAAAGGAAGGGATACCCAGAATCCCAGTATTTTTTGTCTTTGTATTTATAGTTACAGCCTTCTCTTTATAGTAGGCAATGGTGTGGACTGTGTTAGCACAGAACGGTGCCCAGTGTTCTTACATGTACTTAATGTGTTCACTTGATATCTTTACTACTTGAAAATTTCAGCTGCTGGAGAAAAGAACTTCCTGATAAGTTTTTTTCTTTTATATTCAGTTAAACCCATCTGAATACTGTAGGTAAAAAGAAGTTAAAAAGACTACAGATTTCACACTCCAATTAGGAATACATACATTATTTTTTTTTTTTTAATTAGGATAATTCATAATATTTATTTCATTTTGGGCTATGTTTCTCTTTGTATTGTTGCATGTTTTAGAAATTTTGTTGTTTCAGCCATTTTTTTTTAGCAAAAGTATCGACAGCAGTAGCCTGTATGTCAAAATAAATGTGCTGGATTATGAGTTCTTCTCCCCTTCCTCTGTTTCTTTTCTGCTATAAAGGTATTTGGTAGCACTAGGTTGTACCAAGCCTCTTTGTGACCTCCTGACTGTGATGGATTCAAAAATAGTACAGGTGGCTTTAAATGGACTTGAAAATATTCTGCGTCTTGGAGAACAAGAATCAAAGCAAAATGGAATTGGCACTAATCCTTATTGTGCCCTCATAGAGGAAGCCTATGGTAAGAGCACATTTCTTGTAAAAATGTATACTTGAACCTCCTTATTCTAATCTGTAAAAACAAAAGCACTGTGAGTCATTTTGAAATTTGCAGGTAAGTTTTAATACAAGAATTACTTCAAGCATAAGTAGACATAAGGTATCACAAATTAAGTAATGTTAACATTTAGGGGAAAGTGCTTAAATGCAGAAAACGTTTGGTTGTTTGTTTGTGGTCAGTTTAAATGTCCTTCTAGAGAAGCATTCGCAGAAGGGCTTAACACAGGTGTCCCAATTCCATGTCCCATGGAACCATACTACATAGTCCTGTCTGCTACAGGTTCATTACCAACTGGGATTTAAAATCAGGCAGTTTTAAGTTAATCCCAAAGTTGGATCACTTTTTAATATAGTAAACATCAGTAACAGGAAAATCAACTTCAGAACATAAAACTGACTAAAAACTAAAATGTTTTTACTTTTGCAAATATTTTGTTTAGTTTCTTAGAAAAGTTCTTTAACTGAACCACTGTATACAGGCATTCTAGAAAAACTAATTTGTGGAATTTCATGACTGGATTATTTTACAATTGGCTTATAATGAAACTGGCATTCTTTATGGAGAGTTGCCTTTTTTGTAGCTCTGACAAAACAAAATTGGCTGACATTTGTATTTCAGAAACTGCTAGTAACTAATAGAACTGTGGTTCTAATTGACTACATTATTTCTGAATAGATGGTACTAACATTTCTGTAAAGCAGTCTTTACATCTAAATTCTCTGTTAGAGAGTTTAACTTTTTAAATCAAGTGCATGCTTGAAGAACTAAAGCAATGAAATGCATAAGAGGAATAAGTACTGAACACTTCAGTGGAATTTATTGTGTTGCAGATTTTCTGTCCATTCATAATTTTAAGTGTTGATTCTCTAGGTTCTCTTATTTCCTTTAGCAGTTAAGCATAGGCTGCTGAAGCTGTCGAGTATAGGTTAAGGAAAACAGCTGATTATATCACCCTCGTTGCTTTGGCTTCTGCAGTCACCAGAGGGTTCATTTGAGCTCTGTATAATCCAACCTAAGTGGAATCTACATTACCTTAAAAAGCTAAAAAGGAATTTTATGTCAACCTAACTGACTGCCTAGCACTTAATTCAGCCAAAAGAGCAGAAGTTATGTCCTCTACTTGTAAAATGGTAAGCTTTCCAAAGGGTAATATCTTTAAATGTTAAAATGAAAATCAAAAAAAGATACCAGACTGTGCCCATCAGTCATCATGGATGACTCCATGAGTGGAGATAGAATTTAGAGCTGGGGAAAGACTTAAGAGTAGAAGAACAGAAATTGGGATATTAGTTTAATTTAAATGCTTCTAGTGTAGTTTTACAGTGAGTTTGGACAGCAGAAAATTAAGACTAGAAATACATGGATGAAGAAATTAAGAACCAGTGGTATGAAGTTAATTGAGGTGACTTTAGATTGCATCTTTCTGTCTTAAGAAGTCCTGCTATACAATAAGCTGTTTCCATTTGAATGCATCATTCATTTAAGCAACTATATTTTTGAAAATATTCTATTTTGAATTTAGGACTTGATAAAATTGAATTTCTTCAGAGGCATGAAAACCAAGAGATCTACCAAAAGGCTTTTGAACTCATAGAACATTATTTTGGTGTTGAAGAAGAGGACTCTAGTATTGCACCTCAGGTGGATGAAAGTCAGCAGCAGTTTGTGTTTCAACAGCAGGAGGCTCCAATGGAGGGGTTCCAGCTCTAAACTACTGAAGTGAATATAAGCATAAAATTTAAACACTTGTACGGTTTGGGTTTTTTTTCTCAGAGGTCTTTTCTTTATGGCCAAAGTTAGAGGAAAAGCTGAATATGTTTTGCAGAAATATATGAAGAAACATCTCATGCACTTTTATATATTGTGTTAGAGACAACTGTTCTCTGTTTTGTATTTGTGTTCTTCATTATCTCTTATGTACAGAAAACAACTGTGAGTAATCATGTCTAAAAGCATTAAATGTGATTTAACAAGAACTGTTTAGCTAAGACTTGGTAGGATTTTAGGTAGTAGTTCTGAATTTTTCATGTAGTCTCAAACTTCATATCAGCAATACAGTTACTGACAGTTGAATTTTTGGCAGTAGGCTTGACTTGCCCAGTCTCTATCAAATCTACCTCTTGTATTGAAGCAGAAACATTGCTTCAGAACTAAGGCATGAAATAAAGATGAGCTTGTAAGAAGCTGAATTGGAATGTGAAAAATATTTATTTAAATTGTGAAACTTTTATGCATTACTTACTTTACAACACACTGTTGGAATTTATTTATAAAATGTATTTAAAGGCATAATAGATATACAGATATAATGCTAATTATCTAATATAATATTGAATATATGAAAAAGTTTTTTCTCAATTATGTGGGAAGAGGACTATTTCAGAGGTTTTCAAATTGGAATCAGCAGAGACCTTGCTGGTCATTTGATGTTGGCTCTGTAATGACAGCTGCTAAATGGCATTACAAGTCAGCCACAACTGCAGTACTTTGCAGTGGAAGCAGCCGCTGCAGTTACCACAAGAAAGCTGCAATTAGGAATGACAGAAGGGTGATGTGCATTAATCACCAAGCTGATTTTTCAGCTGTCTTCTGTCAAGATGTGGTAACACCACTTTAGTTTGAGAAACATTGCAATGTTTGCCTTTTAGTACAATAGCTTCTTAAAAGTTTAGACAATAGGTGTTGTTTTTTGACCCAAGTATGCTACTGCCACTTGAATTGTTCCTTAGGTTAATAAATTTGGGTTGCTTTTGGTAAGACAATAGAAATACTGCAGTGAAAAATGAATAGTGAATCGCTCCAGTTGAAGGAAAAGTTTGTTGTACTGTAAATAGCATTAAGTATGTGGACACCAAAACTAACTAGAAGTTATTGTCATCTAAATATTTAGGCTCTATAATATACAGTGTTTGCTGTTAAACACTAAAAGAAATAGAATTCTAATATTTACGTTAACAGTTGAGTACAGAAAAATGTATGCTCTGCTTTGACTTGCATATAAGTAGTGTTTCTGGTGTAACAGTAGTATATCTCATTTGGAGAAATTAATACTTTGGGTTAACTCTGAAGTATTGCTATTTTTTATTACCTGTAATTAATGTATTAACATCAAACTCCTGGGTTAAGTGAAATCTGTGACATATGAGAGCATTTCATGCTTCATGAAAAGCTGCAATTCAAACTTCAAATCACTTACCCATGGCACTGTGCTTGTCACTAAATAATATTTTAATGCACTGAAACATACAGGTTAAAGGTGGTATCATTTACAGTACCATTTTATATTTAGAATTTTTTTTACATGCAAGTTAAGATTCTAAGATGTTTCACTTGGATGTTACAGCAATATATTCTATATTGTAATTGAATGTGGGACTTGAAGTGGATTTTCTAAATTAACGGTCAGTTTTGACTAAGATATAACTGGGAGGGAAGCAAACTCCCTTTGAAGTCTTTTTAGGGAAGATAGAGGTGTAAGAAGTGTATATAGGAGTGCTGTTACTTTATGAACTCTGAATAATGAGATATTTTAGCAAATGACACTTTAAACCTAGATTTGTACAGCATACAACAGTTTTGAATAGTGTAATAATACTGAGTACAGCTGCCAAATTTTCATAAAATGTTAGGTGATTGTACTTATGCCCTTTTTACTCTATTAGTTTTAGGTTTTCATATACCAACCTTCATTCTCTCCCATGGTCTCTCCACTCCCCATCAAAGAACAGGGTAACAATCATGGAAATCTACCAAGATTACAAGCAAATGCTGAATTTCTGTGTTCTAGTGTAAGAAAATAATTCAGGTAACAGGGTATTCCTTTGTTTCTAACAACCTTGTTTTGATAATAACCAGCCGTGCCTGCTTTTTATTTGGAGAACCCTGTAAAACTACATTTATATGCCTCTCTTATTTAAACCAAATCTGAACTATGAAAATCTTAATTGAAAGACTTGAAAATGAAGAAAAGAGGGAACATCTAAAGTATTACATTTGTTTTGAAAGAATGTCTTCAGTTGTGTGGATATATTATTCTATCTTGTAGATGGTTAGTGACTGCACTTTATGCATTTAGACAAACTATTTCATGCCTCTGATATGTTTAAATGGAACAGTTTGAAAGGGAACTAAAATTGATGGAGTTAGGATAATGAAAATCCTTCTTTAAATTCAACATTTGGTTTACCCTGATATTGTTAAAAAATAACAATGAACATTCTTTAAAGGATATACATACAGGATGGTCTCTCCTATTTTATCACTGAGTTTATGTCATGCTTTGGTAAAAGCACGTAAACGAACAAAATAAAACCAGAGATTATGACTTAAGGTCAGTTCCAGTGTACTCATTCGCAGGTAGGGCTATGATTATGATGATATTACCTAAATAGATGAAGCCAGTATGGTGGGAGAAACAAAACTGTGATATGAAAATCTCTGTAAGTTTGGTGTTTTATATGCAATTTGAAGTGCCCCATTAGCTACAAAGTCTGTTTAAAAATACAGGGGTTTGGGTTTAATTAAAAGGGTACCATTTGTTCTGCTTAAATGTGAATACTAACTAGCTAATCTATGCAACTATGCAGAGCATAAGATTTTTTTTATTAGTTCCCTTCTTTTGTTACACTGAATCATATCTAATTTTTTCGTCATTGCACTTTTGTCTTAGGACTGGTTCATACAGCTTTTTAATTTTCTAGTATTTGCTTTACACACTGTTGCTAGCAGCAATCAGAAAACAGTAATAATGTTGGCACAGAAATGTTTGCTGTAGAACAAGTTTGCAACTGGAAACTATTTAGTGTTGGGCCTGTCTTTAAAAAAAGTAGTAAAGATGCACTATTGTCTTTCCTCCATGGTTAATTCTCAGTAGGTTTATATTTATAATTGTACAACTGAGGATTTTTGTAGTAGGTCTGCAAATTGATACGTTGACTTAAGCTGTGACCTCAAGATTTCACTGAAATCTGGAATGAAAAATTCTAGTTACTTATGGCACAATGTCTTCATATAATGCTTGGAAACTAAATTACCCATATTAACTTCAGATAGTAATAGTGCATCTTTAAATCCAGGCCAAAGGTCCATTACTGTAACAGAACACATATAAGTAGTATGCAATATTATGGAATGTTAAATCTCCAAATACCATACAGAAACCAATAAAACCTATTTTACAGATGTTTGCTGCATTTATTTAGTGATCTAAAAAGTGTTGCTGCTTAAAACTAAAAAATGTAAATACCATTTTGAATACAGCATTGATGCCAATGAATTCCAAGTGGCAGTTTGTGCACTGAATAACTGCACTGTCACCAGAGAGAAAACTTCTTGGGTTTAAATACTTTGTGGTTATCTAACCAAAGGTAACTGGCATTCTTAGGAAACTACCTCATCTCCTATAAGATGAATTACTGCTTTTAATCATATGCAAAACATTCTAAATAGGTTTAATTATATGCAACAAGTATCCTGAATATCTTCCTAATGAAAGAGACCTTCCCTTTCTTTTTGTAGTGCTGTAGCTGCCCTTACTGGCTCCAGGGTGTGGATACTACAGTTGTTCATGTAGGGGTGAAACTCACTAGTTGCTCTCAGCAGCAGTTAATTTTGCTCTTCCGGGGACCTTCAGCATTTCAGGCGAAGTTACTTTGTCTTTGCCTCTGCAGCCAGTGCAGCCTCCTCCCGCCACTTGGCCTTCTTTGCCAAATTTAAGCTCGTTAAGGACTCGTGACGTGCAGCAGCCTGAGGAGGTAACAATGTAGGAGTAAGGATGCAGCCAGGGAAAGCTACCCAACCTCAGGAATGGGCAACAGCCACTTGGGGTGGCGGGGTTGACAGAGACTCAATCAGCTAAAACTTGGACAGCCGTAAGCTGCCGCTCTTGGTTTAGATTTGTGTGCTTTTCACAGAATTCCATTGTTTTAAAGTATGCTACACAGCATACAGGTGAGTATACTCACCTTCTTAGCTGAAGCAATCACCGCAAAACAGGCAATAATTGAGAGCCCTATCATGATGTAACAGGCTTTCACTCGAGCTTTGTTTCTTGCCTTGTCTAGCATCTCTGGCCTGCAATTAAAGTAGTTCAATTGAGTCATTAAAAAAGGCAAAGTAGCTCTTCAAAGCATTGCAGACATAACATCACAATTTAAAAATAAATATAGAATTAGCTTCTGAAACAAACATCTTCAGCTTGCTGCGGTTAGTTATGTGTCAGCCGTCTTCTGATCCTAATCCATTTCCCATGGCAAAGCAAGATTTAGTGGATTTAGACTGTTTTGGAGTTTTTTAAACTGGGGGGAAAATTGCTCAGGCAATAAATGTTTGCATTTCAATGCTTGGGGTAAATACGCCAGAAATCATACTTTAAACAAAGTGAAAATTAAGTGGGGTTATCTGTTTAAAACAGGTGGAGGCGCGTATATGTGGTGTCAGATGGAGTTCTCTTTATTCAAAGTTAACTTTAGAAATCAATTACTGCTCTATCTAACATGTTCAGATGGTGTTCTGTAGGCTAAGGACTTTACATCCTTGGATTTTTGATTAAAGCAGAGTTTGCACTACTACAAGTTAAAGGTTTTAGTTCTTTATTAAAGCAGCAGCGTGCCAAAGTGGGAACTATTTCAGGAACACACACCTAAACAAGATCAATCTATGGGACTGTTTTTGCTGGTCATCAAAGGCAAAAGTGTAGTGAACACTGTTGTCCTCTGGCAGTAGTCAGTGCAGAGGAGGCATTTCACAACCCAGCAATCTGCTTTGGTATAGCTCCTTTTTCCACCCTCCTCTTCTGAGCCAGCAGTGTGGCCCTGGGAACCAGTAGTACAGGAAATAATGAAAATTGTCCCTAAACATTCAGCTAAGTTTTTCAAAGTCAAGCTTTATACTGGGGAGTACAGTTTTTAAGGTGTTCATAATACTGGCTGTGCACTATTTTCCTTTCATAGTTCATCATGGGAATATTTTATATAGATATGTGTATTTTATAAGTACATGTTTTATACATATGTATAAACGCACAACTATATGTGTAAAAAGAATAGCTGCATAAAGAATTTATTTTGTGCTCTAAGTAAACATGGTGCAATGCTCTCTTTCCTTCAAAAACCTTTAGATTTACTTTAAAGAGTACCGTGGTTGGACGGGGCAGAGCTGGGGATTGGACAGTGCCCATGAAAGCCTGCACCAAAGCTGAGGACTGCAGTGCTTTGCTCTAAGGTTCAGTGTGGTGGAAGAGGACAGGTCCCATGAGTGGCAGTGCTGTTCCATCCCTTCCTTGCTGGTGCACAGAGGAGGAGCACATCGTCCACACTCTGTTTCTTGCAGGTGACTAACAATGCCTGCAGTTCTAAGGAACTGCTTCTGGTTTGTACAATGATAAAAATCATCTTCAAAACAAATGGCACATCAGACAGGCACGTAGGATCGTTAATCCAATAATCCATTTGTGGCAACAAAAGCAAAACCGTAAATGTTATTAGTCTGATGTATTAGCCTAATTATATTTCACAGTACACTAATTGAAACTCCTCTGAGGCAGATTTTCACTTTCTCCCTGCTTTCTGCATCTGCTTTAAGGAAAACAGACAATGTTCTTCCCTAATTGCATATTGGGGCCTTTGCTGTTCAATCCTTAATCAAGACTCCAGGTATACCTCTGCTGAAGTCAGCAACAAAAAAAAGCTGGGGCTTTTTTTTGAAAAAAAAACAAAACAAACCACAATCTTGAATAAAGCCTGCAGATTTGTTTCATAGTACAAACTATCTTCAGCAGTTGGTTGTGTTCACAGGTAGCAACACCTTGCAATTATTTTCTTGGCAAGAGTTAAAACAGTGCAACACTTCAGTATACACTTCTAGTATATTACTATTTATAGTATAGCATAGTCTTACAGTTCTAAAAACACTGCTCACCCAGAAAGCACAGTGGTGACATTCACAGGCCAGGCCAGAAAGGAGTAATTTTTGTGCATGTGTCTGTATGACTGCCAAACACCACATCTTTATAAACATCTCCCAATTACTTGAATAGCATTTACAGCTCCTGAGACATGTCTGAGCCTTCCTCTAGAGGAAGATGGTGAAACTAACAGCACAAGAGAGGTTAGACTGTCCAGAAAGCCACTGTCCCGCTCAGCAAACTCCAGTGAAACTGTCAGGAATCAGCAAGAATAGGCAGAGGATGTACCTGTTGCTTTACACAGCTCTGATACTGTTTATTCTCAACATGTCATCCAAGGTAGAGACATACTGTGATGATAAAAAGTGTCCTAGAGAGATGTCTAAGGTGCTATATAGCATGTAAAAAAAGGGAGCCTTAAACATGAGGGGGGTTTCAGGTGTTTAGTGCCTGACTCCCTTATGGGTTGCTAATTTTCAGCAAGTCAGAGAACTGTAGTGTGTGTGGTTTGAGTGGGGAGGGACCTTCAAAAATCATGTAGTCCAGTGGGTCAGCAAGAATAGGAGAGACTAAGGCTATGTCAAGTACTCAGTTTTCCTTGATGAGTGATTCTCCTCTCATTACCTCCTTCTCTATTTTTCCTCCAATTCTATAATAAAAAATAATTTGTTGTATGTAATTATTCAGTGACAGCTCCCTTAGAACAGTCTATGCAAGCTATAAACAGAAAATATTGTTTACCAGTAACATCCTTCTCTGCACATTAGGAATAAGCAAAACAAACAAGCCAGTACATAAATGTAACCAAGGCTGTCCACTCAGATGGATCCAGTTCTTAATCCCAGGCTCTAGGGACTCCAGCAAGGAACATTTTCTCATCTTAACCTCTAACCAGGACAGGAAATTCTCTTGCCCTCTAGTTTGTTTCCAAGTCTCAGGGTTGTAAAACCGATCTGTGGAAAAGCTTTAAATTTTCCACTGGATCAGGATCACACCACTGCTTTCCCTTCAGTTCCATGTTACCCTTGGACAAGGCCAGTGCACTTACGGGATCCTCAGAGGAATCTCTTCTTCTGTCTTGAAACGTCCAGTCCAGAGAAGGATTTTTTTGTCAAACTTCGAAGGTTTGTAACTTGCGACCACCCTGTGAGCCTGCTCGGCTTAAAGAGCAGGGAGAAAAAACACGCATTGTAAACTATGCACTAAGAGAGAATTATGGGTTACCGACAGTAAAGTGTGCAAGGGAAAAACCCTACCCATTTTGGTAGGAAGAGTAATTTAGGGATTAGACCTCCAAGTCTCGGCTACGCAGAGTCACCTCCGCGCCGTCTCTGGATTGTCCCCTCACGCAGCGAGTGTTTTTGTGCGTCTGATCCGACCTCCCCGCCGCCCGCGGGTGTGGGTACCCAAGCGAGCAGGAGAACTCTCGGGACCACCCGAGCTGCGGTNCCCCATCCCGCCCCGCGAACCCTTCCAGCCGCACCCAGAGGAGAAGCGAGGAGAACCGGGACGGCCGCCGACACCCGGCCGGGATCGGTCCTCTGGAGAAGGCATCCTGTTCCCCTACCGCACTCACGGATTGCAGCCCGAGTGAGGAAAGGTCAGCGTCCAAGAAAAAACTCGGCTAAAGAAACAGACGCGGTAGTTCAGCTTCATGTTAGGACGTGCACCTGCTGGAGCGAGTCCTGAGGAGGGGTCGCAAAAACGACCAGAGCACCTCTCCCGTGAAGACAGGCTGGGAGAGCTGGGCTTGTTCAGCCTGGAGACCTTACAGCACTTTCCAGTGCTTAAAGGGAGACCACGAGAAAGATGGAGAAGGGCTTTTTGCAGGGGCATGTAGTGATTCCTATACTCCCGTTACAAGGAGTAATGTCTCTAAACTGAATGAGGATGGGTTTACATTAGGACGCCGTTCTTTCCTGTGAGTTTGGTGAGGCACTGCCACAAGTTGCTCAGAGTAGTTGTGGATGCCACATCCCTGGAGGGTTGGATGGGACTTTGAGCAACCTGGTCTAGTGGAAGGAGTTTCTGCCCGTGGCAACTAGGGTGATCTTTGAGGTCCCTTCCAAACCATTTTACAATTCTATGTAGAGCATAAATTTTGAGACACAAACCTTCCCACATCTGTGTTGCTGTCATTTTACTGCTTTCAGAATGCTCAAATATATTGATTCTCATCACAGGCTTTTCCATCTACTTCAACTGAAAAACTTATTTTTTTTTTTGTTTTTCCTTTCATATCCTGGACAGAGTTTTATTTAAAACAAACAAACAAACAAACAAAAAACACAAAAAAACAAACAAAGAAAAAAAATCCTGAAAAAAATATTCAGAGAAATCAGCACAGAGTAGACACTTACTAAATAACAGCCTGTGTCAGCATGATATTCACAACAGTGTAAGACTGCCTCAACAGAACTCCATCTGATGCATCAAGCAGTGGAAGATTTTACGTGCATCAGCCAAACAAAGTCAGAATGGTTGCAGATGAACAGAGGAAGTCCCACTCCCCAGGGATGGATCACTGTCTGGCAACAGCTTAAGTCCTGTGCTCAGTGTGACAGCACAAAAAAAGAGTTTTGAGTGATTTGTAACCTCCAGCTATTTTTTCTTCAGGAGCAGAGCATATAATAAAAAGGAAGAGATGCACCTCCTCGCATGCACACACACTCCTTGAGCAGCTATGCCCTCTTTCAGAGTGTTGTCAAGGAGATGAAGACACATCAACAGAAATGAGGACAATACTTTACCTTTGCTCAGAGAGAGTGGCATAGTATCAAGCAAGGCTCCTTGTCCCTGAAGACACAGCTGAGAAGGGTAGGAAGAGTCAGCACATCTGGGCTGGGCTCAGTGTCCTTCATTATGAGCAGCATCCCAGACACTGCTATTAGTTGCCCCTCCTGATGGTCACTCACACATTTAGAGTGACTGTAGTTCCAGTGGCTGTCAGCAGAGCTGCTGGGAGGAAGCCTGGAGCTCATGTAGTTCACAGCACTCACCAAAGAACTGCTTCCAAGTCTGGGCAGCTGAAAGGCATCTAAACAGCCAGAGTTACTGAAATCTCAGAGGGAATTATGCTCTGCAGAATAAGACATCAAACATTTGGTGGCCTTCATGGTCTTCATTCTGCCTGAAGATACACTGTATGATAGTGGCTTCAGAATGCATCCTTCAGGATTATTAACAATGGATGACATAAGCCCTAAAAAGGTTAAATAATGTTTACATCCAGAGCAGCCTCCTACTGACCTTGACAAGCAGCATTTTCCCATTTGATTTCTCTGTGAACAGTACTGTATTTGGAGACATTTATTCTCTCTGTTGCCCTTGGAGATGGAAAACGTGCCTGTGAGATATTAGTGTTTTGAGACGTGGTTTCAGGATCTTTCCAAAGTAAGCAAGCAGAGGGCCAGAAAAAAGTGCTGATCCCTTTGGCCTCACATGGCCTGACCTATGGGCCATGGCTCTGGGAGCAGCAGGATAAGACTTTGCAATGACTCTGGAAGGTGATTCCTGTTCTGTGCTCTGGGGATGAAAATCTGTTTCAGGCTCATATAATGTTCCCATGACTGGCAAGAGGAACAGTTAGATTGCTGGAATACTTACTGCCCTGGGCCAGAGAATGTGCACAAATGATCTTTTAGCATAATAAACTCCTATTTTGAGCTTTCTTGTATCCTCTGTGTAGGGTAGCACAAACCCTTTATGTTCTTCCTGTATGTGATCACTTGCTTCTTGCAGACAAGGGATTTAAAAACATGTAGTACATCTTGCTATTATGTGTCTTTTTTGCTGCCAAGTCAAGCTTGCAAACCTGTTACATCCTCTCTGCTCCACCATGGACTGTGCTTTGCACAGAAGACCTGAGTAGCTGGAGAATTAGAAGGAGCTTGTAGGGATCCTTTGGAATTCTGCCATATGTGATGTCTTTCCTCAGAGATACCTTGGCAGAGACCTTCATACTGCTGTCACCAGGCCCTGTTCATCAAGACATTCTCCTCATTGTCCTGCAGGATGAATCCTTTTAATCATAAACAGCTTTTAATCTAAAGGATGTTTCTAAGCAGGCTGAGGTCTACAGTGGAAACACCTTACAGGTGTATGTTGTCCAAGGCCAAACATATGCTCATGGGGACAGGTAAGGAAATTAAGTGAACCAACTCAAATTTAAATATCAATATGGCTTTAATCATTCCCTTTCATATAGCTTCAAGGCATGCTACACTCAGCACTTTTGAAAACAATAAACACAGGTACAACATTCCAGCCAAATTCACTTTTCTAACCAGCTGATTGCTGACAGTTGTGCATGTAATGTAAAGCTTGGCTTCTCTCTTTTAGGGGAAGACTTCTTGCTGCATTGGCAGTCAAATTTCAGGCATTTTAACTTATCATGCATAATTTCATATGCAGAAAGGTATTTGCCACAACTGAAGTATAAACAGCATTCAACATATAAATATATACATATAACCCTTCATTCCTACAATCAGCAACATAACATATGTATTTACACAAATCTACATGTGAATTGCACTCTTGCCTTTCAAATTACTTTAAAATGCCTTCATAGATACACAATATCAAGGATTTTAGTATTACCTCACAGTAACACGGCACAGAACTTAAAATAGTGCAGTTTCTATGTTCTGGGCTTTATGAATATGGAAAAGTATTTTCCTGTTCCTGTTCTGGTATTGACAGCATAGCTTTGGTGTTTAAGCTCTGTCTGAAAAAGCTCTGTGGTACCATTACCCTGACAGAAAAATTCCTTCTTCTCTGAATGTGCCCTTTGCCTCTCACACAGAAGGCACAGCACAGCTGTGCTCATGGAACTACAGAGCAGAGACTCATCCAGTGCAGATCATGCCATCCTCGTGCTCTCTGTGTATCATGATAATGCATTGTCATGTTCTCATCGAAAATCACATTTTTAAAAAATATATACCAACCCCTTAAATTTTCCAGGATGCACTGATGCTGGTACTGACTCATGATGGTCATTACATTTATTTATGCTAATGAGAGGAATCAGTTAGTGGTTTTAAGTTTTGCCATTACACATTGACTTTACACTCTCAAATAAAAGGACACCTGGGGATTGTTCTCCTCATGTATCAGAGGAGATGAATGAGGTGAATCACTGTGTTTCTTCTGAGTATGGGGAAAAAAGGCAAATGAACATATGTATAACTACAGGGCTCCAGAAGAATTCTCTAATTTCTTTATAGATCTGTCTCTGGTTCATTACCATGCTGGTAAACACAAGGGACCTTAAATGTTACTACAACACTCATCTGGAATAAGATGTGCAATTTTGTGAGGAAAACAAAAAGATTCACTGATACCAGATGAAAAGAGTTACTTTTGGAAGTTCAGAAGAATGGAAAGCCTATCTTAAAAGTGGAGACTAAAGGACTGGACGTGTTTATCTTGGCAAACAAAGCCTGGGACAAGGTTCTCTTTGATCTGTAAAATGGGGCCAGATGAGAAGAAGAGCTCCTTAAACAAATGAGTATCAAAGAGGCAAAATAAGTGGGAAAGCTCATGTGGTCCCACTTACATGACTGTGAGAAATAAAAATTTTGTGATGCTTCTGCCTAACTTGAGGAAGGGAGGTTGCAGAATAGGTTCCCACAGGTCTATGTGGGCTGGATGGGGAAGGAAGGGAGCTGCTGAAGGGGACTGCACATCAGGGAGTTTGCAGGAGCAAGGGATGGGCTCTGTGAGTCAGGAATGCCTTTCAGATCTGGTAATGGATAACCACCTAAGTACAGGAAAAGGTGTTTCATGTGGCCTGCCCTTCTTGGGGATATCAAAAGGAAAGAGATCTGAAAGAGAAATGGCTCCCTAAAATGGCTTTTTAACTTCCAGTGCTTAACACTGGCCAGTCATATGCTGGAGACTCTTTTCCTGACCATACTCCTTGTAACATTTTTAGGAAGAACTTTGCCTTTTATTAGTGGCTGCCTAGGCACTGGGAAATGGCAGTTTCCATTCACAGAGTCATTCTCAATTTTACATGGCTCTGTGATAGTAGCTTGCAGGCTGGAAGATTTTGAATCTAAAGAAACCTGGCTAACAGCAACGCTGCCTGCACTCTTAGAGGAGTAAGTGTAAACCATTTTGAGAAAGGCAGATTTTGTGTTTGTCTCTTGCTTGTAAATGATGATATAGCATTTTGGAAGAAAAGTGCAGCAGAAGATTCCATAGTTAGATATTAAAACAACGATGATTTCCACTGCTGGCAAGTATTTACCAAATGTAGTTGCATAGACAGGGATAAATACGATCCATGCTATAAAGTAAATTAGCATGCCAAAAGTGATGAATTTAGCTTCATTGTAATTCT